CCCTGACTCGTCCTCGGTCCCTACCGGCTCCCACTGCAGACGCACACTGCCGGATCCTGGAACATCCTGAGAACAAACACTCTCCATACTCAGCAAGAAATTTTCTGGAGATGTTCCAACAGCTGGAATACTGGTTCTCCTGACCCACTGTCTTCTAGGCAACTTGGCTGAAGCGCCTCTTGAGCTCCCACTGCCATAAATACCTCTGACTCGCCCCCTTGAACCTTTCCACGCTCGTTCATCCTGAGTCTGACCAGTGGCTCTAGGTTTCTCTCTTGCACAGACAACCTTATTCTGCCCACGAGACTCTGTGAACCGGACTTTGTTTCTCTTCTGAACTTGGACGGTCACTCCCTCAGATGGTAACCCGACCATGTACAACGAATCTCTCTTCTTTCCACGGGCTATGACAAGATTTCCCTTCACGACCTTCCACTGCCCATCTCTGAACTTTACCTCGTGTCCCTGTTCGTCCAACTGCCTGACAGAAATCAAACTTTTCTTCAAGGCTGGATTCACTCTGACATCCTTCAAAGTCCAGAAACCGACTGAGGTCTTCAACACCATGTCACCCATGCCCGTCACCTCAAGAGCACTGTCGTCCGCTAGTCGTACCTTTCCAAAGTCCCCAACAACCAGATTCTGCAATGCTTCACCGCTGTGGGTGGCATGAAATGAAGCACCAGAATCCATGACCCAGGAATCCACATTGCTTTCCTCNGACATTGATTCCTAAAATGCCCCACCTCCTTGCATTTCCAGCACGTTACACCTGAGCTGTCACGAGTCTTCGACTGACTCCTTTGTCTGTTCTTGCTCCCACTACCTCTGCTATTTCTTCTGCCTCTACCAACATGAAGTAATTCACCAGATGACTCCCCTGAACTCTTTCTTCTGACATCCTCGCCAAGAACGAGATCTCGAATCTGATCAAAGGTGAATCCATCAGGCCCAATGAACCGGTAACCGCTGTAACCGTTCCGGACCAACTATCAAGCAAAGACGATAGCAGTAGCAAAGCTTGAACTTCATCATCGCACTTAATGCCCACTAACGCAAGTCTGGCTAAGATCGAATTCAACTTGTTGATATGCTCGGTAACTAAAGTGCCTTCTCTCATCCTTGCATTCACCAGCTCTCTAATCAGAAAAACTTTGTTAGCTGCAGATGGCTTCTAGTACATATTAGACAACGCTTCCATAATTCCCTTCGTTGTCTTCTCCTTCAGAATGTTGAACGCAACATTCTTGGTCAACGAGAGACGGATCACGGACATTGCTTTCCGATCCAAACCTGCCCAATCTGCATCCGACATCTTTTCTGGATTGTCACCCAAAACCACGTCCAAATCTTTCTGAACCAGCAAATCTTCAATTTGCATCTTCCACCAATTGAAATCTGTACCATCGAACTTCTCAATTCGGAACTTTCCATCTTCTGCCATCTCAAACGACTAGACGAGATACCCGGTACAACTAATTTCAGATCTTGGTATTTTTTCGTCAAAAAATCAGGCCCACCACACCAACCAAAACAAAACAGCCCAAAATCCAAAATGAACCCACGGCCAACACCTCTCTTTGACGCTCAACCCAATTCAATTAAATAAAAAAAAGGCTGAAAAAAAAACCTTGTCCGGCCCACTGTTTTTCTTTCTTCGCACCCTTCTTTTTTTTTGTTCTGGCGGCTGTGCAATCTCAAAACGGGAATGGCTTCAGCGGTGGTGCTTCTAGGAGACGACGGCGCGACTGGGAGACGGCGACAGCAGCTGGTCGGCTGAGCTTTCTGCCTGCGGCAGCTCCTGTGTTCTCCGGCAACAATAACGCTCTGCGCAGGGTCAGACTGCTATGGCGGCAGCTCCTCAACTTAGCAGCGGCGGTGGCTCCCCAACTCAGCGGCGGCGGCGGCTCCCCAACGCGGCTTGACTGCACGCGGACGGTGGTAATTCTCCTCGAACTAGCGGCGTAGATCTGAGGACAGCAGCAGCTCCTCAACCCGGCGGCAGTCTTGCTCGACAGAGTCACTTCTCCTTCAGCGACGGCGACAGCCAGTTGTGTGACGACTCCTCTGCGGGGGGCGCCTGGACGGATCAGCGGCTGCTCCTGCGCGGCTGACGGCGGCAGCGGCTCCTTCTTAGATCTGTCGCACACCCAGATCCGAAAACCCTAGGTGACAAATTTGCAATTCGTGCTCGTGTTGAACAACTTGGCTCCGATACCACTTGTTGGGAATTAACACACAACACACACAAATAATCTGCGAGAAACGAGAGAAACGGAACACAAACGACACACAAGAATTTAACGTGGTTCGGCCTAATCCACGGCTGCAACAGGAGGACTTTCTTATTTCACTTGTGGTGCAGATTACAAGTACAAGCCCTCTATATATAGGGGAAAAAAACTAGGGCTACGCACAACTGGGCCGGGCCGACAAACAAGCCTCCACAAAGCCCAACATATTTTATTTTATCAAATAGAAAATGCGTAAACAAACAAAAGTTATCGAGAAGAGAGAGAAAAAAATTGTAATCTATTTAGGGACGGAGGGAGTATTATACATTGTCATGATTGACATTGTGTGTGTATTTTAACACTTATTTTGGGAATAAAAACAAAGAACTCGTATTCAGGTATATTTTTTATGTTTTATTTCTACTTTTGCCTTTTTCTCAATAATATTATTTGATTTATTTCATAAAATATTTTCAAAATAATATTTTATCTAATTAATATATTATATATTTTTTATTTAATTATAGATCAAAGATTGAAAATGGTTAGTCGCAAAATAATCAAAATGAGACAAATATGGGGTATAAGTCAATTTTTCAATGAGGGCTCGTATTTGCTTTTGTTATGGGTTTTTGTAAGTTAGCAATTTAAAGTCTCGGAAACATATTTTCCTCAAAAGAAAAATAAAATATAAGACCATTACCAAAAAAGTAAAGAAAGACAATTGTCATCATATGTTAGGCATCCAATTCGCATCAGACATGTCGGGATTGTAGTCACACAAATCAAAGATTTCGATCCATTTCACCCGGACAGCCTCGTTTGAAACTGGAGCCCACTTAGAACAACCATTGAAGATTTTTCACACATTATCATACATGAATGCAAAAATTGTGCTTGATATTTTTCAATCCGATCGAACAGTTGAGATAAAAGTTATAAAAACCAAATGATGGATATCCGGGCCCGGTAATCAGATAGAGACAACCCAATTGGGATATATATAAGTCCAAGAGCATAGAGTCAAGGCCTGATGGTGGACATAGAGTGTCGGGTCTGGCCCGATACCCGAATGAGTTGTGATTCCCCAAATCATGGGATTGAAGGGTTTGATGACTGATTTCCCGCCGGATAATGTAGCACACAAAATATTACATGCCTTGTATACGGTAGAAGTAGATTATAAATAAACGGCAAACCCTCCATTGTAAAGCAGGGTGAATATAGAGCTTTTATAAACACACAAGAGTTCTAATTTTCTCGTGGACAGTTCTTAACTTCGATCTTATTATTCTTTTGTTCATTCGCCATAGTTGTTGGGCTAAATCTAAACACCAGAAATTGCTTGATTTTTTATATTTATATTCTGTTACTTGAAAGCAAAGATGTGCAAAAGGTGGCGCTGCATCATGAATCGTGATAGACCTTCGATCACCACTCTTTCCCCTTTATTTGCATCCTGATTCCAATTTCATTCCTAAAGTTTCTCTTCTTCAAAGAGTAATTTCTAAAGTTTTTGTTGATTTGCTTGTCCATCTGAAGTTAATTTGAAATCTGTAATTGTTTCAAATACTAAAAGGGTGAGGTTTTGTTAAATGATCTGAACAAGAGAGCGTGATGAACATAAACTAAATGTTGTAGCAATAAGAGTGAATTTTAT